ATATATTTTTGGTGTATTAAAATCTCCCAAACTTAATTGTTACTTGTCCTCAAGTTACTCCTTTACTACATAAAAAAATATGACTAATGACTAAGATTTTAACTTCTAGATTTCTATATTTTAGTTCACTAAATACAATTATATAACCTAAGGAGAATTTTAAAATAACTTCAGTTAATACTAAGAATATCTAGCACTCAAGTCTAAGATTTTTGACTCTCTATTCTTTTCAAGGAAAATTACAAATTATTCATATTAAAGCCACTTAGAATATTCATATGAAAAAGAACTTCATGAAACTTTACTAATAAATATGCTAATACTTAAATATAATTTTAGAAAATATAGCCAGGCCTTCTTCTTTAAGTTGATTTAAGTAAAGCCAATTTCTAATTAGGCATCCAAGCTTCACCTGACGTATTTTCTTTTCTCTCTTTTTTTTTCTTTTCTTTTTCTTTTCTTTTTCAAGATCATTTTTCAATCATTTTTCTTTTCTTTTCTTGTCTTTTTTTTTATGTGAGGATTACTATATATGGATAGCCTTTAATGATTTTGTACTTCATTTTCCCCTTCTTAAAGTTAAAAACTTTTCACATTCTTTCACTCTATAAATTTATATTAGCTTTAAAGATTTTTCATAAAGTTTTAATCGTTTCTTCTTACATGAATCTCTAAGATTTTTGATATTTCAAAAATACAAATTCCTTTACTTAAAATAGAAAAAACATAGTCTTACTCTTTCATACCAAATATCTTAATCTCTAAAATTAACTGTTTTTATTTAAAAGTTTTTACTTAAGTTTACCATGTATTTAGAAACATAAATATAGTTATCTTATGTTAAATTTTAAAATATTTTAAAAATATAGCTAATTGAGGACAAACAAAATTAAGTTTCTTTTTTCTCAAAAGGAATTTTTCTTTCCCCCCCAAACTTAAATTTTTAAAAGATCTTGCATGAAAAACTGAAAAATAAAGGGTAGAAGAGAACATTTAAAACATAAAGAAAAGACATATATGTTGAAGGTTCGAATTTGAAACTTAACTCTGAAATATTGCAGGTGTTAATATGAAAAGCTACATAACTTAAAACATTAAATAGCACATAATACCTATAAACATTTGTTGAGAAAGAGTTAACTACAAATACATCATACAAAGCACTAAAAACTAATAACAGTACTCAAATAGTTCCCAATGTAAAAACAGTCTCACAAGTCTACAGTTCACAATTCAACATAACATTTAAAATAAAATGTTAAACATCTAAAAACAAACAGTCTCAACAATAAAGTACAACCAAACATAAAGCAAACAAAAATATAACTAAAGCTTCACCAATCATCGTCTTCGTCTTCTTCTTCTTCCACATCCAAATTTTGCTGCTGATATGGAGTAAAAACAGGGTGAGTAGGACACTTAACTGAGTGATCGAATAGGAAATTGAACTGAGTGATCACCCCTCATGTATCTGACCATTGCACCATCATAAGCAGCATCATATTCAAACTTCTGTCTTACCAAATCATCAATGTGAGCATGCTTTTTCATTCAACTACAAAACTTCTAATAATGTTATAAATCATTTGCATAACATGAAATTTGGATCATCATCTGCTCCATAAGTTCATGAATAGTAGGGGTACTAGAAGTACTTAAAGTAGGTAGAAGGAATATCGAAGTAGAAGGAATATCCCTGGTCCTACTTCCAGATATCCATCCAACATGAGATTCATAAGTCTTTATATTGGCAGGCCTAATAGGTTTTAGAGGTTTAATCGTCTCCTCATCTGCTCTATAATAAACTCCTGCCTATTCACATAGTGTGGAGATCAGGGCAGAGTGTGCTCAACCTCCAATAGTCTCTCCAAAAGCAATAGATCGAGTGCTCCTATAAATAATGGAGCCTACATCTATCCTTTTCAACTGTTGGATATAGAAGTTCAAGATGACTCTGTCCTTTGTAACCTGTAACCTCACTATGATGAATGATGATTTGTTGGTATCATTCATCCAGAAATAAAGTAGTGTCAGGCCTTAGATACTACATTTAACATAGAAAGAGGAAAGTTTATCTTAACACCATCCTTCACCTTCCAGGTTCCGCTTCCATCAGTAAGAAAAGAAATAACTTCATCTAAGGCCTCATTTGTAGCATAAAATGATTTGTAAAATGATTTGTACTGACTGGTAGCTATACACATCTTATAACTGATAAAATTTATTAATCTTCCTTGGAGTAAACTCCACCATTTTCCCACGAACAAACACATAGTCTTCAAGAGTCTCCTTAAAATTGGCATAGAACACCACCACTATACCAATAATCACCTCGGCGGTAAAGTAGCAAAAATTCTCGCACTACTGAGCATTGATTAATCTCTCGACTTCTCCAGGATTTATCCTCGATCCGGAATAATTTTTTTAGTTGCACGTAGACTATTTAAGAAAATGTTTGCCTTGTAGTTGACAAACTTTTGATCATCAAAATCTACCTTTCTCTTTCCTTTGCTCATTCTAGGTGCCATGGTAAATCTACAAAAATTTGATAAAATCCAAATAAATTTGGAAAAATTCTCAAAATCACAATGTGCAACGTTTTAAATTTAAATCTACTAGGTAAGAGTTTCTCACCAAAGGATTTTCTCAAAATCTTCCAAAAAAATCTCAAAATTTTGGATCTCGCAATGTAAGATAAATCCTTGGAAATCCTTGGTGTTGGTGGAAATAAAAAATTTTGAGTTTAAAGTGTAGCTCTTACCTAGAGAAGATGAAATCCAAACTTTGTTTTCCTTCAAATCGATTCAAATCCGAGCAATAGCAAACCCAAGATGCAGAAACTGGAGGTTGAAGGTGACTCAAAGGGTAAAAATGGCATTTTATTGTGCAAATCGTGAATTTTAAGTGTGTTTGGGTCGGTTGGGATCGAGGGCGCTGTCGGTGCCCATGCCGGCACCGTTGGCGCCAGTGGCCAGAAATTCATATTTTGATTTTTTTAAAATTTCAATTTTCTTTCAATTTACTCCAAATTCCATTTAGTCTTTTTGAACTTAATTTTCATCTAAAAGTAATTTCACAAACAAGAATTTTCACAAACAACACCAAACGAACTTTTATATATGAAAATACACCTTTTAAAAATACATTTTTCTAATCACACTTCCACATTCTTGAAGCAAACTAAATTATAATTCAGCGACAAAATCAAGCCACAACATTAGAACGCTGACACAAAATTATACACAAAAATAGAGTTCTAAAGCAAAGTAAAGTAAATCAAATCCACACAATTACATTAAAAACATAAGTATTTTAGACAAATAGACAGTCCAACTTCTTTAATTATTCTGCCTCATCTTCAGTACTTAATTCCCCTCTAAAATCTCCTATAGAATGGAAATGGACATACAAATTGTAGAATGGTCAGTACGGGAATTGTTCGGTTTAATTTTCATCAATCTATCCACATTTTTCTTGAACATCTGCACCAATTCTGCTTCAATTGTCCCAGTATGACCACAGTTCTCCTTCATTCCCCAATCTAGGTGATCAAAAAGGTAGTTAAGATTTCCTATTGCATTCGTAATACTCTGAAGTTCTCTTTCTAATTTCTTCATTTTCTTCTCCAAATTAATTGAACTTCCAACTGTTGGTGGCATCAATGGTGTTAAAGCATGTGATGAATGATCCAAAATAACATCTAATGCTTCATTTCCACTCCCTAAATAATTACCATCAACAAGAATCATGGGCTCCCAAAGTAGTAACACTTTCTCCCAACTTTCATATGGAACTTGAGATTGACTGCACAGTAGGAATATTGTAGAAGGATGCCCTTATCCATATATTGACCCATTCATGATAATACCCATAACAGATTTGAAAATAATTGACCCCACATCAATGGGTTTTTCCATTTGAAAGTAATAGTTTAAAATGCACTTTCTCTTGTAACTCTAATAATCTTCATGGTAGGGAGTCATTTTGCATACATGAAGAAATGTCATTGTTTTGATATTGGATTAAGCAATGAAGCAGAGAAACTAATGTATCCCTCATCTCTAATTTTCCAATTATCATTTTCATCCATCAGAAAATTATATACTTCTTTAATCATATCTCTCATTGGGATAAAATTTTTATAATGATAGATTGGAACAGTTTCTATCATATACAAATCATTAATTCAAGCCGGAGTAAATATTATAGCCTTACCTCAAACGAAGACGTCTCCTTGGGTAATTTCATGTAAGTTAGCATAGAATTCCTTTACAACTGCTACTAAAACTGCAGCGGTAGTGTAGCACAAAACTTTTCATTGTCTTTGCATAATGATTTTCTCATTATGTGAACTTGGATTACTCAATCCATGTTTGATAAAGCCTCTCTCCTTGATAAGTCTCTTCTTCGTGATGACTTTTTCATATAATCTATAATCTTTGCGCGTCAAAACTCAAAACTGATAAACTTTCGTCTATTGAAAACTCCATACCTTTAAGTATTTCTAGAATTAGAAGCCATGGAATTTAGAATTAGGAAGTTTCTGGACGTCCAATGTAGTTCTTAGGACTTTAAAAACACTTCTCGGCGGTTATTGAGGAGCGAAATCCCGCCAAAGTCCGCCGAATTCACTATGCATGTGAAAAACTGCTCGGGATGCCATTGACGCTCCTGATGGCGCTGTCGGCGCCATGGTCCATTAGGCGGGCTCCATCGGTGCCCATTCTGGCGCTATCAACTACAAAAGCCAAATTCACATCTTTTATTTTTTTGTTCAATTCGATTCCAAATTTTCTTCCAATAACAATATTTATCTTAATTTCAGATAGATAAAATTATGTAGGACTCAAAAATACTATTTTTTCCTAAGATATAAATACATTATTAAACAAAATAGTAATATATATTTTTTATTTTATTTAATATTTTATATATTTTTACTTTTTTTTTTAAATATTAATGTTTAAAATTAAATTTTTTGTTTTTGATTAACAGAGCAGCTCGTGGCTCCTTACGCTTTAATCAAAGGAAAAAAGGTACATAATTGGGGAGGGAAGGAGGAGCACTTCTAAAAAGAGAGAAAAATACAAATAAAGCCTAAGGGTTCCTCTCTCCGCATTACAACTCCACACCAAAAAAAGTTAAAAAGTACAAAAAAGATATTACCTCCAGAAATACATGTATCGCAACAGATAATATACCAACCCAACTCAGTATACCCAAAGTAGACATGTACACAAAGTGCAAATAAAAATGTCGTGTGAATTGTAAGGCCAAAACTTTCTGAAGCAAGACTGTCTCCCAATCCATGAGCAAACAGGCTGAGAGAAGCAACAATAGTGTAAGATAGTGGTAGCTTAACACCAAAAAATAGTACTGTTAGGAGTGTTAAAAATAACAATGATGTAAAGCATTAGGATAGCAGTCCAAATAGTCCAAACAATAGAGTCTGTTGGAAACATTTGTAACCTGAGGAATGTCAGAAGCATATTTCCTTCATTCATGTGATAATTTCAAAAATACGACATCAAGGGCCCCAATGCTATAATCACCAATTTGTAATGGAGAAAAGCTACAACTAAAATTCAAGAAAAGGATAACATTGATCTTGCTCCGTAGATGCTCAACATACCACCACAAAAATTTTACCGCAAGCCACTTAATGTAATAGTATGTCAAAGCCACCAAACCCAGCTTTGTGTCCCAAAGATAAAAACTAATGCAATTCACTATAATGCTAACAAAAATGAAGCCTTAAGTCTCCAAATAATAATAAAAGCTCACGGTCTAGAGAAAATAAAGCCCGAAGCTTCCTTTCACAACAAAAAACGAGCTGCTAATGAAGCAAAAAATAGTATCAATCTGACTTCCATTAAACCAAACATAAGTAGCATGAACCGTGAGCCTCCAATCTTAAAAGAGGTTCAGAAAAATAACATCAAGGACTTCGTATCTGTATGAAAAGTGATGTAGTGCATACAACCACCACAATAGTACCAAGTAAAGGAAATCAGTGATCAAATCCTCAAATCCCAACTTAGTATAGCAATGTTTAAAGCAAGCATTATGGAACAAACTTTTCACTATGTTGCCAACCAAAATGACACCATAAAACCACTTATAAGAGAAAGATACCACTAAACCATCCATTAAAATGAACAGCAAATTCAAAACCCTGCCAGTATCACAATCCTGCCCGTGCACCAAAAAATCCAACCAACAAAGTGGAGGGAAAGTGCTGCTATAGACAGACATTCCAAACTCAAATCTATATCCAGAAAAGTCTCCATAATAGTGTAAATCAGAAAAAGGTAGGCCAGAGTATAACCAAAATTCCAAGACAAAAAAATGGTGCGTAGTCCAAGACTTTAAGGGGCCCTTAACAACAGCTAATCATCAAGTTAAAAGTACTGACAAAGCAATGCTTAGCCCGTAAAGACTGTCCAAACAAAAAAATAATGCTAGTAGAAACTATCATTCTAATCCCAAAACTAAGGACCCAACAACCAGAACATAAGGAATAACTATAAGATGACTTCCCAAAATGAAAGCAAACAGTTCTTCCAAAATAAGTCCAAAACCATGCTCCCAACTCCTAGAACCAACATAGAAAAAATAAAAAGAATTCTTGCTTAACATCCCAAAGTGGCCAAGAAAAAACTCGAGAGACAACTTCAAGAAAAGCAAAAAAATGGCAATCCAAAAAGACCCAAGCCAAACCCATAAATAGCAAAAAGAAAACCAAATGAGGGCGCAGCACCTCAAAAACGTACATAGGGGGAGTCCAAATAATTTTTAATTAGTTTATGCAAGGATGAGGGAGGGATATTAGCAAAAATAGCATTTTGTACCCTCCATTTTACCAATCAATCCGCAGATTGATTTCCTTCTCCATAAGTAAATGAAAATAAAATATTAAGGTGATGCCTTTCAATAGTGTACTTGATTCTTTTCAACAAATCTAAGATATACCAAGGTGGTTTGATCTTAGCTAAAAGAATATTTAGTAAGAATTCAGAATTAGTTTCCACCACAATGCCATTTAAATTTAAGGAGGTAACAGTATGAAGAGCAGCAAGCACCGCAGAGGCTTTAGCCTCAAAAGAGGTGTTAGCAATGCAGGGTGACACAAAGTAAGCAATACACCTGCCAGTAACATCTCTGATAATCCCTCCCATACCTGTATAGGAATTGGAAAAAATACCATCAACATTAACCTTTAACCAACCATGAGGTGGTGGTGCCCATTTAATCAAAATTTGTTTCCTACCCTTGGCCACAGTACGAGAGGCATCCTGTCCAAAGAAGGACTTTCAAGCCTTTTTAAAGTAAGCAACCACTAAGATGTAAATGGTAGAGGATGTGTGACCAATAGCTTCATAGTTATGATTGTTTCTTCCCATCCAAATAAACCATAATACTATAACAGGAAAACAAAAGTGCTTGTTGAAAGAGGGTTCTATCCCTTCCATATTTCAATAGCTATTTTAAAATTCAGATTAGTGGGCCAATGGATACCAACGAAGCACCCAATGTGATTCCAGACATCTTTAGCAAACAGACAATCAAAAAATAGGTGATTTAATGATTCAACAACTTTTTTATAATTATAACAGTAAGAGGCAAGTTCCAGCCCATCAAGAGGAAGCAATTTATGAAAGTATCTCCAAAGGAAGTAGGAAATCGATGGATAAATGAGTTTATGCCAGATAAACACATGTCATTTCCATGGAGTAAAAGAGTGTAGGTTTGAGTAAAGCCATTTTGTAACAGATGAGTTAGCATGATTCTTCCAAAAAGAAAGAGCCTTATCTTGAGATTTAACAAAAATTCTAGTTATAACAGGAGTAATTTCACCAACTAAGGTATTCAACATATCAAGATTCCAAACACCATTAATCCAACAGTCTGAGACCAATGAATTAACATCATAATCTTGAGTAGGCAAATTAGAAAAAGTAGAGAGACCCCAATCATCATTCTAAAAAGAAAAAAACTACCATCACCAATATCCCAAAACATGAAATGTGAAGCTAATCACGTGCAGCAATGATGGCTTTCCAAAGTCTAGAATCCCTCACTTTCCAATTAACAGTGGAAGGGTGTGAAGTTTTACAATATTTATGTTGCATAAATTTAGCTCATAGAGACTCTCCCTGCCAAAATTTGAACCAGAGTTTAAACATATTAATGTCAATAGTATGCTACAAAGTTCTAAACCACCAACAAATAGAGGTTTACAAGCATAGTGCCAAGTAGTCCAATTTTTAGTAGATCTAGTTCCCTTCCAAAGGAAATTATTAAAGAAATTTTCGAGAATCTTTTGAGTGCTCTTTTTGGTTTTGAGAACCTGCATCATATAAAGAGGGAGTGTGCAAGGAACACTTTTCAATAAAGTGAGCCTACCCCCATTAGAAAGGAAATTGTTTTTCCAATCATTGGTATGAGTTTAACCTTGTCTATCACCTCATCCATCTGAGTTTGCTTGGTTCTACCTCTGAGAATGTTGACACCAAGATACTTGATAGGGAGCTTAGAGATTTTGCAGCCAGTGAAATTAGGAGCCCAAGCAAGGGTGTTGGGTGGAGCACCTTTGCCAAAATACATAGAGCACTTAGCCAAATTGAACATCATCCCAGATGTATTTTGAAAATATTTAAGCAAGGACATGGTAGCTTTGATGGCACTTTTGCTAGCATTTAAAAATAAAATAGCAAAAATAGCATCATCAGCATAAAAATCATCAGAAGGTGGCTCACAACAATTTTAGATTTATGAGAGAATTGAAGATAAAGACGCTCATGTTGCAACTTATTAATAAGCCTGGATAGGTAATCAAAAGAGATAATGAAAATAGTGGGAGAAAGAGGGTCTCCCTGCTTGATGCCCCTATTGGCAGCAAAAAAACCACGAGCTTCACCGTTAACCATCACACTATAGCTATTATTGGACAACTATCTCTGTATGAGAGAGCAGAAACCCTGTTTAAAGCCTTTAGCTTGCAGAATATTGAGAATAAAGTCCCCGCTAATAGTATCAAAAGCTTTCTTTTTCCTTTTTAAGCTACACTCCTCCCCCCCCCCCCCCTGCACTTTTTGTCCAACTCCTCAATCATTTCTTGCGCTAAAAGAATGTTGTCAATGATATCCCTGCCCTTTATGAAAGCTGACTGCTGTTCAACAATAATGTGAGTAAGATGAGGCTACAATCTGCTAACAATAATCTTACTCATAACTTTAGATATCATAGTGGTGAGAGATAGAGGATGAAAACTATTCCAATTGATCTTATCATTGCCTTTTGGAATAAGAACAATCAGTGTCGATGTGAAAAATTTACCAGGATTGTTCCCAAAGAAAAAACTTTGGATAACAAGAATAGCATCTTTCCTTATAACCTCCCAAGCATGTATGTCGAAAGTGGAAGAAAACCCATCTGGACCAGGTGCTTTGTTAAGGCAAATAGATTTGAAAGCATTCAAAATTTCCTGCTCATCTGGAGGATAAACAAAACTAAGATTATTAGCATAATCATACTCACTCTCAAAGTAAGTGGAATCAAAAAGCATAGTATGAGCAGAAGTGTGAAAGAGGTCAGTGAAAAAGCTAACAACACTATCACCAATCTCTATCATATTAGTTAAAGTTATCCTATCAGCTTTTTTAAATTTTAAAATGCTATTGATGTTTCTTCTATGCGTGAGAGTAGCATGAAAATATTTAGTGTTTCTATCCCTAGCAACAAAGGAAGAGTCGTTAGCTTTCTATTTAAGCAAATTTTCCTCTAAACCAATAGCATCCAATAGATCAAGATGAGCTTAGACAATAGTGTCCATCAAATGAGGGGTAACATAAAGTTGAGCTTCCAGGGAATCAACCATATTCTGAGCATCCTTCACTTTTTTTATGTACATTACCAAAGACCTGGTAATTCCATTTAGTCAGTTAAGCCGCCACTTTATTATGCAATTGCCACAAGACAAACCAAGGAGTCCCAACACCATCAAAGTTCCAAGCTTGTGTCACCAAATCAAGAAAAGTAGCATGAGAAGTCCAAACATTATGAAATTTAAATCTAGAAAAGGTCGGCTTGACAGTAAAAACCAAAGTGAGCAATTATGATCAGAGGTAACATGACTCAAATGTTGCACCTTCACAATAGACAAGTGACTTAAAAAAGCCGAATTAGCCAACAAACGATCCAATCTCTGATAAATAAAACTCCTCCTCAAAGTGTAAGGAGTACTTGTATAGCCAAAGTCATAAAGACCTACATTAGACACAGAGTTAGAAAATCTATTATAGTAGGCTCCACTCTGCCACCACATTTTCTTTTCATTGGCTTCATGATAATATTGAAATCTCCACCAACAAACCTATTCTCGTTGATGAAGCTTCCCATAGACTCAATTTTCTACCAAAGCAAGTTTTGCTCATGCAAAGAAGAACTATATTAAACAAAAGAGCCCCACCCCTGAAAACCATCAAAACAAATTTGAGTTAGAAAGTATTGGTCCTAATCTTCATTAATTGAAAGAGTGACAGTGGACTTCCAGAAAACCCAAATTTTGTTGTTGACGTTGCTGTAAGAACGATAGCCTTTGAATTTATTTAGTATTATGTGTTTATTGACATCAACCATAGGCTCCAAAATAGCAAAAATGAGTAATTTGTGAGCCTTACATAAGTTTTTAAGCCTTTTAAGGGAGTTAGGGTCCGCCACTCCCCTAATATTTCACACCATTATGTTATTCATGATGTTGTGAGCCAACCCTTATAGAAGATCTAGTAGAGTTGACCAATTGTTCTCCATTTGAGTGATAAACACCTTCCTATATAATGTTACTAGCATTAAGTCTAGATAACTCAATGTTACGTTTAGCCTTTTTTTGAGAGTGCTTTTTTACTTGCAATTCATTTTCCAAAGTTTATGTGGCAATATCTTGAGCAGTATTAATATCATAAAGTGCTCCAACAATAGGAGAGTGAACCATGGTACTAGAGAGAGTAGAGCATTCATTATCATTAGTGTGTCTTGCAAGAGAAGAGTGTCTATTATCAGTATTTGTTTCCACAATCTACTCATTTATCATTTCTTTGTCAGGTCCCGCAAGAGGAGAGTGTCTATAAGGAGAAATAGCATAGTTATTGTTAGAGTTTTCAGTTAACTCCACATTGTCAATAATCTGCATAATCTTAGGTGTAACGTTATTACACAAGTGTAAGGCTTCAACTCCTTGATGCCCATCTTTAATTTTCAAATGTGGAGGTAAGGCTTCAATACAATTATTAATAGCTCTTGTAACCAAAGGATGCATACCAAAAATAGCATTAGTATCAAGATTTTCAACTAAAACATTCCTATTTTCAACACCAGGTGGATCAACATGCAAATCATTAGTTATATTGTTAACATGATTACTAGATTGCCTGGTATTTGGGAATTTTTAAGTTGTGGATTCATATGAAAGCATGAAGTGGTTTTATGCCCAAACATAGAGCAATGAGTGCAGTAAGGCGAATGCCTTTCAATTTCAACAGGAAATAAATAACCTTGATGTTGCGAGCCTATCCAAATTTTGTTACAGAAAGCATGAGTAATATCTCGTTCAACCAATATACGTGCTTCAGAGTGTCTTGATAAAGTGAAAGTAGCATGATCCATTTTTAATGGTTTTCCATATGCAAAAACAAGTAAAAAAATTATTTTGTGGTTAAAAACATGTAGTTTAAGCCCTGGGAATCGAATCCATACCGGAATAATAGGCAACTCAACTTAAGGATCAAAATGAATAGACCATTTTCGAAATGAATAGACCAACCATTTTCGAAATTTCATCAAACTATTTTCCACCCACATGAACCTTTTTGTAAAGAGGCGAGTGTAATCCTCATCATTTTTTAGTTGAATCAAAATATTTCTACCATCAATAACACTAACCTTCCACCAACCTTTAAATTTTAACACATCAAACTCTCTCCTTATGATCTTAACCTTAGGAATTCCATAAGTAAATTTACCAACAAGGGCAAGACAATCAGAAGAGGCAAGCACATAAGTTTCATCTTCAGTAACATAAGGAGCAAGTCTACCGTTCTTTTTCCCCAGTTTTTTGATGAAAGTATAATCTCCTCCAAAATTAAGTGTGACATGAAAAATTTGAGGAAAAAACTTAGAGGAGTATGTGGATGAAGCACCGCCCCCATCTAAAATGGCATCAACAAACGATCGAGAAATTGGTGGAATAATTGAAACTTGAAACCCAAAAAACTTGAGGAACACACGGTGAAAGAGAAAAACATGGAAGAAGAAAACCGAAGCAATGATGGAAGGATCTCACCAGCCGATCGGAGAAGCTCCATCGTCACACTCCGGAAATGGCCCAAGAATCACCGTAAAACCCTTGCAGAGCTCCCATCTCCTATTTTATATTATATATTTTATCTACAATATATATATATATATATATATCAAAGCTCTTCATTTTGAGTTTTCTTTGTATGCATTCTCATAAGCAATGTAAAAGAATATGGTTGCAGTTGTATTT